CCTCTCGGCCATCAAGGTGTATACCCTTGATGGCTGAGAGGTACACCCTCGGCCATCAAGAGTTTACTCTCAGAGGCCGAGGGCTAAGGGAAACTAGCAGCCGAGGTGTTTTCCCTCGGCCGTTGGGAGTGTACTTCCAGCGGCTGGGAAGAATCCTCCAGGCCGCTTCTGTGGGTCTTTTACTTAATTTGTCAACCCCCAAACCCTGGCCGGTTTTGGAGGATCAACTCCTAAACCAACTGGGGGATGTTTTTTTTCTTAATATTTTTTTTTTGGAGTCGACTCCCAAACCAGTCAAAGGTTTTGGGGGTTTGACTCCCAAAATTTGGGGATGACGGGGCTTGGGAGTTGGCTCTCCACTTTTTGGGAGTCGTTTAACCAAGCCCCTACCAAAAAAATTAGTGAATGAAGAAGAATATACAAAATGTTTACAAAACTTTTTTCTGTCCAACTTTTCAGGATCATTCTTTGGAACTCCTTTTTCAAAGTTTCACCAGGAAGTGTCAATTGCAGTCCATTGGTTTACCCTCCAGACTCCAATTAAAGGGTTCCATTTTTTTTCTGTCAAGGGGCTGTACAACATTGCCAAAAAAGAAACTTTGGCAAATAGAACCAAAAATCTCCATAAATGATTCCAAGCTCATTTTCCAGGTCAAAATGCAAGTTGAATTTGATTACACTGCCTTTTCCACTGTATGTTCAGCTGTGAGTCTGATGCAGATGAATGCCTCACTCCACACCAGTATGAAACCATCTGGTATTCATTTTTTTTTTCAAAATTTTCATTCATTATAATTCCTCCAGCATACCATACCCCAATTTCCAATTTCTATTTTCTCATTTGGAGCAATATTGAAACTTCTGAAAAAAGTGCAGCAACTGTAATAATTTTTTGTAAATTTTGAAAGTCAGTTTTCCACACTTTTGTTTTCAGAATCATTTTTTGAAACCTATTTTATATCACTTGGCCAAGTACATATCATGATTTCAAGCTGGTGGGCTGGGGTTGATTAATCCAAACAAACCAGCCATAAACAACTGGGAGGTGACTGTATATAGCTCACTCTGGATTCTGTCTCACATCATAGTTTCTCTTGTTCACTGAATCTAAACCGTTTTTATTTTAATTGACTGCTCCAGTGTCACAAGGTCTGTGAACCTTCAGTCCCACTTCCTGTGTTCCCCACAACATTGTATTTCAAGGTTTCAAATTCTGTCCCCCCCCCTGAACAACTCTGCTTGACTTTTGAATTTATATTGGGCCTATCAAGAAGGTGTCAACAACTCCAGTCCATTCTGAGGGCACAAATCCATGCAATTTTCAAACTCTCTCCAGATTTTAGGTCCCAAAAATGTGGACAGTCTGCCCAAATTCTGCTGGTTTCTAACAACTGTACCTACAAATTTTTGCACTACACAACTCAAAGGTTGCCTCAACCAAGCTTCAATGTACAGTGACTGTAAAAAGTTCTCATGTCAAATTTTTGGAGGTCAAACAGTGAACACTAGTTACACTGGATCATCCCACATGTTGAATGTTGACAAGTGACTTTTTATTGTAGTGTTGGCATCACATTTCAGTTCTGCTACCTTGGAAGAACCTACAAATGTGTAATAAAAAATCCATAAATGTTGACAGACAAACTAGCCAAAGTCCAATTCTTGTTTTAATGTAGGCTTTCAGTTTAAACATTAGACAGATTTTTCCGCACTTACAAGAGTGAGCTTAGTGTACAAATCTGCATGCAAACTAAAAGGTGCCACAGAGGGCAGGATCTACACAAGGCATAGGTATGGCATGCCGATAATGCTTTTGGACTTTTTTGAGAACATGCAATGGCTTGTTTTTGGTGTGTATCTCTTCATGGCATTTGTGTATTTTTCCTGGTACACAACATGGTACCTACTACCCACATTTTGGCTTCACTTCGCATCCAAAAAACAAAACAGGAGCACATCATTTGTGATTCAAACATGCAAGTAAGAAAGAAAACCACGGCCATGCAACCAGCCAAACCACATATTTGGTTTGGGCAAATCATATCAAGAACCAAGGTTGACTTTACTTGAAAAAAGAAAAAGAATACAATAAACACAAACGTAATTGGCAGAGGATTGGTTTCTTTCCATCAGTGTCAAATATTGAGTCAGAGGAAAGGCGGATATAAGTAGATTACAAGTGATCGATCAGCCTTGAGAGCGGGCAAAAACAAGGGATGGTTTCAGAGACCTGCGGGAGTATGTAGTTTCGATGGCTGATTTCCGAGAGCCCATCTCTGCTTTGGCGGCAAGAGTAGCCTTGGGTAGTTTGACAGCAGACCGGTTGGGTTTGGTGTATAGGCGATTCCGAACAAAGTTGGCAGCTGCGATTGGGCGTGCAGCTGGATTGAGATGATCGGTCTGGGAAAGATGGACGACCGTCGTATTATTACTGTAAATGTGTTGGAAGAAATTTAGAAGCAATGGAATCAGTTCGGAGACCTCGTCAAAAAGGTTAGGTGTAGTGCGAACCCAAGGTCTTTCCAATCTTGATTTTCAAGCTTCTTCTGCTTCTTCCGACGAGTGTTCAACAGCTTTGATTTTTCTGATGCGCGGGCTAATGATGCTTGTTTCGATTTTTCGAGGGTGTGAGAGGCTGAAGAAAAGAGTGAAGGGTCCAGGTATTTCTTCGTGTTGACAGGAATTGCAGCAGGAACAGGCTTAGTTGATGCAGAGTCATCCTCTTTCTCTTCATCCGACGAGGACGATTCCTCTGGATCCACTTCAGTCCCGGTTGTCTTAATTTTCGTCTTACGCGTCTTGGAATTCTTTTTCAGCTTTTCGTCTCGAACACGATTGGCTTGCCGTCTTGCTCGTGCTGTCCTAAGTTCAAAAAAAAACAAGAATTGGGAGCAAGGGTCAGACGTTTCAAGCTTCAAAATAGCTTCACAAGGAAGCTGTTGAATTGGATGTGTTTAGAAATATGCATTAGGGTAATTATTAAAAATCCACTCACGCTTTGGCAAAGTTATCGATTTCCTCTTCTCTCTGTTTGATTTGCCGCTTGCCGGCTACGATACTGATAACTTCTGGGGCCTCATCGGAGTCTGATTCGGGCGTGCTTCCATTGACACTTCCATGAGTGGATGAACCCTGATCAGGGGGCCTATTTTCGCCATCGGGGCCATCTTTCGAGCTCTCGTCAGCAGGCTTGGTGAGGCCGTCGCCTTCGTCTTCTGCTTCTTCCTGTGGGATCTGAGGAGAGTCATCGTTTTGAGATGGCGAGGAGCGAGCTGGGCTTTCTTTCAACTTTCGTTTCCCTTTCTTCTGAGAAGCGGGTGATGAGACAGAACGAGCCATGTTGATGATCGTTGATGATTTGGAAGGTGGTGTGGCCTGTTGGCAGGGCGCCATCTCGGCAGGAAAGGTTGGAGGAGGCGGATCGCAGTCCGCAGCTTATTCATATTGCATATTCCATGCAATATGGATCAGTCCTATGTTGGCACCAAACCTCGACCGTCTTCACCCACAACCCGGCCGCTGAGCCTGATTGGTTTAAAATTGCTCAACCTGGCCTCCCTGCCCCTGGCACTCATCATCCACGTCCGCTTTCAACCGGCACGATGATTCACATCCCAGATGCCCCTATCGCTTTGGGCAACAGCATCGGCTGAGCATGACCAACATCGGCAAGAACTTGCCCCGGTCGAAATCGCAGACTCCAGGTAAGCAGATCATCATTTCCCGTCCTCACTGTGATCGATCCCATTGCTCTCTACTTTTATTATGATGATTTTCTAACACAAGCGATACTCACCAAGTTCGCGCTTGCGAATACCCATATATGGGCTTGAGCAAACTTTTAACATGCATCACCAACTGACCATCCCTCAATCCCTTATACCCGCTTCTCAGTCTCTCCTCTTGATCGAGCGTTCTTTAATGACTACTCTTCTCCCATCCAAACACAGATTGACGTCTGACGCCAGGCTTGATATTCTTCGAGGTTTATCTCACTCAAAGGTACATATTCATCTTTCTATTCCGCCACATCCAGCTTTCCTCTCCCAACCTAGTGATGATCATCTATAAACAATCAGTTCTGCTTCCGATCCCTTCGTCGGGAAATGCGGATACTCATCTACCAATAGCTTACCTCATTCTGATCTAACCCCTGTCACCTTGCCCTCTTATTTTTGTCTGATTATTTTCTGAATGCTTACTGACTTTGGTTTTCCTCCCTGCCCACTTCACATTGTTTGTGACCTCGAGCAGTTTGTTCTCCTCCTCGTATCCTACCGTTATTCCACCAGTGATGATCAACTTCGCATTCCTGACAACCCTCGCAAGAGGATAAGATGTCTAACAACGCATTCCTAAACATCTGATCCGACATACTTCCGAGCACAATTTGGTTATACCGGTTCATGTCTCTGACTTGGGTGTTTCTCTAACAGTTCAAATGGCCAATCACTTCTGGCGGTGTTCCCCTTTTCCAGTGCCACCAAGTAAGTCATCCGAACATACTTGTCCTTCCATTTCCTAGGATGAAACAATCCGATAATCCATTCTCTGTACCGAGTTGGCCCCTGTCTTGCCTTCCGACGCATTGCTATCATGCTGAACTTGCCGGTCAATGTATGGCGAGCGCGTGTTATCGGCAGATCAGCGGTCATCTTGATTACTCTACCAGGTGATCTAGTTGACCGCTCCTGCTGTATTCACTGTTATTAGCTGTTGTGACTGAAAAGTGAACTTGAGCGTGGATGTCTAGGTTTTAAATGGCTTGGCTGGGGCCTATCTCTCGGAAGGAAGATAAACCGGCATTCTGAGTCGTGCATTTTCTATGATGCAGAATTATCCCAGTCACACATGCTGACCATGGTGTTTGATTTCCGACTCGTTCATGAAGGTTATGGCTCTTGCAGGTTCTCACCACTAGTACCGGTGATTCACCTGGCCCATGTACTCTGCTCCCGTCACCCTTAGAGGTAAATCACGGTCCATCAAGCATCCTGGTCTAATGCCGAAATCTTGAGTGCATCCTGGTCTAATGCCGAAATCTTGAGTGATAACAACTGGCGTGTGCCAAATCTGTGCATTGTATCCTTGTTTTTTGACTGTACTTCTTACCCTGTATATGACTTTATTTTGAACTATGAACCAATGTAAACTTGTTTCAATCACACATGAGCCCAATCGACCAATGATCGTGCCGAACAAACCCTGTCCTATGTAAAATATCGCTGTCTACATACCCTATGGAGTATTCAGCGGCACCACCTAATCGCGAGGTCCTTCGTGAAGAAAACCGTCCTCGCGAGGTTCTCTAGCTTCTTTTGCGAGGTGTCTCCCTCTTGCGGCCGAAAATGCCTTTTTCGCGACTTCTTTCGCGAGGAGCTCAGATGGAAGGCTTGATATGGCATCACAAATACCAAATACTGCTGCACTCCAGGCTCCACGAAGTAAATCAAAACTCGCCGCTCTCATGTTAAATCACCTGCTGACCCAGCTCAAAGATATTTCTTTTTTTCTGAAGAAACTCTTGTCTCCTCAACGGATCAAATAGCTTAGAACCATTGTTTCAGTTAAATGATGTTTAGCCAAAACCAATCTGATAGAATGTGCGTAGACGAAATCAAATAACAAGTCCATAAATATTTGGTAGAACGCAGTCACGTGTGTGTTTCCTCTTTTTGTTTCAAATAAGCAAGAAAGAAGACAAAGTTTAAGATTGAAAGGAACATCCTGCAGTTCGCGTGACTAAATTCTGCAAGGTCAAATCAGAACTAGGGATGAAATTCGTATCGAACACAACCAACGTCTATCGATCCTCCAACGCCTCCGTTCTTACCTAAGTTATCAAAAACAAAAACGTCCGATCGACATGAGTAATTTGAGCACAGGAACAGATAATGCCCATTGGAGGGTAATCTCACAGTCAGTGAACGTTTTTCGAAGAAGATTTGTGCAGGTATTTTTGTCATCGTTGGGAAGTGGTTTGTGGACGTTCATCTCGGAGACAGTACTTTTGCAAGCAGGGAGCCAGGAAATTTTGTAATTGTAGGGTGTTCCGTTGGTGACTGTCTTGAAGCTAACTTCAGGACCTCCCGGTTTGACATCCTTGCGAGCGGAATCAACACAGGCAACATTGCTGTACTGTTTTTGCAAATCTGGACTTATATCCCGATGCTTCCCAAACTTATCGGCTGGGTTGCACATTACAGCTGACACTTTAGGTGGAGCAGGCGTAGGATCGGTACCAAGAGTCTTGATGACTGTCCACTTGTATTGACCACATCCGGCTTCAACAGTTCCAGAATTGGTCATGAGATTCTGCTCGCCGGCAGTGTGGCCGCCTGTAATTTTGGCTTATGAGATATCAGCATTCTCTAATGGCAAAAAAGCCCAAAAATTGACTGACAGGGTGAGGTGCTTCCCGCCTTGAAAGCTTCGACGCACGATAAAGAGCAAGTTCCTTTTCCTCCCGACCAACTGAGACCAAACCTGTAATCCATGTAAGCATCAGGATTGGGTGGAGGAGTTCGTTTGAGAAGGCTTCTTTTCCTCGGTCGAACGACGAAACCGCGACTGTCTACGATTTCAGTGAGACCATTGAGAGGGTTCTTCAACGTGTTCTTGCAAAACTTGTCGAACACGCCATCGAAGATATTGTACGGTACTTGACTACTCTCTTTCATATTGCATTGAGGAGAGGCAGATACCTTTGGTGGAAGGTGACCGTTGGAAACATTTGGGTATCGGCGAAACTGGTCAATCTTTGATTGAATCCTAGCCTCATTCTTTTTGTCATAACTAATGGGGCCAATACTTCGAGGTGGCCGAGTTCCGGGTGGCAGACCACCCCCTTAAACAAAAAAGAAATAAACTATCGTTTGGCTTATGATTTGTATTTTTTTTAGGAAATAATGAAGTATGTGTCTGGTACTGACTGTAAGGAGTAGGGTGTAAGTCACGATGCGGATCGTTTAGAGCTCTGGCAGCTTCAACCTCGGCTGGGTCGATCTCGAATATTGCCGTAACACCGGAGCCGGGTCGAATCAGTTGGGGGTATTCGTCGGTGAGCCAAATGGAGTCTGGGTTAATTTCGCCCTTCCCAACAATTACCCAGACAGTACCCCGACAGAGTCTAGCATATGCTCCCGAGGTGACTCGAAAGTAATTTTGTTCATTACCACTGGCTCTAGCTGCACTCATCAAAGTCCCTGCAAAGGCAAGATCCATGTCGAACGCATCATAGACTGTGTTGGCAGTAGCCCTGCCGCCAGTAGCAGCAAGTTGTTCATTGCGCATCTCTGCAAACGCAATAGCTGCGTTTTTCTCTCGGTCGGAATCACGGCTACCGACGTAAAACACACACTCCTCTTTGGGTTCTTTATTCTTCATCAAATCGGTCGTGATGGCGTCCATGCTGCCGAGGTAGAACGAGATATCCCCTTGTATGCCTCGTCGAATTAAAGTAATCAAACTAGATCGTGCAGAACAGGTATATAAAACCACAAGAGTGCTTAAAAGGACGACAAATATCTTTGCCATTTTTCATGCAATGTATAGTTCGATGAACGCGGTGGCTGGTAGCTTTGAATTTGTTGAGTATCTGTAGTGAAGGCAACAATGGCCAAAGAATTAAGGGATGAGCAGGCGCCTGTGAGATCAGCTATGTCCTCTTCGGATGAGGATTGAGCAGAAAAAGGAAAACAAAGTGCTTATGAAGCCCTCAATTTATGTTCCTTGGGGACAAACCACTGAGACATCCGCGAAGAGTGAGAGGCATCCCATAATAGCAAACTGAAATGGACACGTCGAAGGTCCATCACAGCAAAAGCGATGCTAACATATCCTCAAATTCATATGGATCTTAGATTGCGTTTTTTGAAGTTAAGCGCGATTCTCGGCTTATAAGACTCGAGTTGCGCTCAAGTTGATTCTTAATGGAGAACACGGCCTACCAATTAACAGGTCCGTATTCAAATGAATGGAACAGTATACTTGGTATCCCAGTCCGCTTCCAAAATGGCAACATTGATGCAGCAACTGATAATGAACAATTTGGTTAGTTTTGGTCATTGTGCCGAACGACTGACAAGCCTCCAAAAAAGTCAACAGCGGATTCCTGATTTCATTTTCAGCTGATAGGGCGACGACCAGTGCCCAGGCACACCTTCTTTACCACCACTGCAATAAACTACAATGCGTTACATTTTACTTCAGTACGAAGCTACCCCCATGTCATTTACTGCGGGTGCTGAAACCTCGGCAACTGTCCGATTCTGGCGCGAATATACATCTGGACAGTGGTGCCCGAGGTAATGTTTTAAAGGCTCTATGAGAAAAATGAAGTATTGGGACATTTGGGTGTAGTGCTCGTTCATAGCTTTGCTGTGATCTTCATCAAGTGGGAGACCATTGGCACACACATGTACCAAAATCTTTCTAGCATGTGCAGGTATTGTATTTGATAAGTAAGGAAATCCGGCAAATGAAATTGTTATCGTTTACACGTAGCTGGCACTGGGTTCCGCCACCAGGAATATAGTTTGAGACTCGCACTATCCATTGTGGATCTGAAGTTCAATGTAATTCTTGGTTTGAAGTCAGACATCAAAAAAATCACATGCGTCTCCCTTGTCAAAGAAAAAAAGTAACAGGTTCCCCATTTTGCCATTACAATTTACGACCATGCTAATTCAAGTGAAGAAGGATGTGAAACCAATATTTGTGATCCACCCTAGTGGAGAATTGTATCCATTGGCCAATGGGAGTGTAATAGAAGAAATAAAATCAGGATGTTTTCACTCATCCCACCCCAGTGGAGAATTGTATCCATCAGCCAATGGGAGTGTAATAGCAACAATAAAATCAGGATTTTTTCACTCATCTTTGATCATCAATGTACATTTTCACTACCAAACCAGTGATTTTAGGGCCTGTACCATATGGCATGAAAATTCAATTTTTCATAATTTATCAGAATTTATCTTCCTCAGACTATGATAAAATTGAAAGTGACCATCACCAAAGGCCATTCATAAGCCCAAAAATGAAGGATTTCATCTCTAGATCTCTGCCCTTTTTTCAATTGTTGTGTAGAAGACAGAAAAAAAATGCCATTTTTCAAAATTCAATCCTATGGTACAGGCCCTTAGTGATCAACAAAATTGTGCAAAAAGTCCAATTCTAGTGTTGGTCAAAGTATCAAATATTGTCACGACTGCTCAATCTATTGACTGTTGTTAACAACATGGACCCTCATGTTTTGACTATATGGGTATTGGAATCTTCTTGAGATATACTAGGATGGTTAACAACTGACAAGTTGGTCTCTCAAAGTGCTTAAACTTCCTCCAATGCACTCAATTTTAAAGCCTGAAAAATTCCATTTCAAACATCCTTGGTAGTTGATACTGATTTTGATAGAATAAAAAACTCTTTTTCTTATTCTGCTTATTATGTAGAAGGTAAAAAATTAGAAGAAATATTGGTGATACATAGTATAATTCCCTTTTATGCATATACAAATTTCCAAAAACAAAAAAGAGCAATAAAGGAGATGGGGCACACCAAGAATTAATTGTGGTACTAGGATGTCTTGCCAGAGGATTGAATACATAGTCATGAAGTTATGGGGAGTCAAAGATGATGATAGCTACTTGAGCAACCTGGATTTGGTTGAATTAGGCAGTGTGTTCACCTACATGGATGTGCTGTATATGGTGAAAACTTTATATACCTGTGATTTAAAACAAAAAGAAGTCCCAAAGTCTCAAGAAGGACAAATTCAGTTTTTGGAGATTGGTTTGTTTTTTGTAACATGAGAGTTTGAGAAATTTATTTAGTTGGGGCTTGCAGTCTTTGGATTAGGCTGACCACAAGGGTATGGAAAAGTAAATTTAAAGTGTCATCAAGACAGAACAATATGTATCTTGATTACAAGGGTTCTGATTAGGAGTAATCATTAGGGTGATGGTGAATTTCCTGAGTTTCCATATTGATAGATAGATAAATCCCCAAAAATGGAGGCGGGGGAGCCCTTTTGGGATGAGGGGGGGGGGGGGGTGATTTACCACTGAATGTACAGTGGAAAAATAGGCAAGTAAGCTTTAGTTTACCCAGTGTATGTTCAGGAGAAGTCACCAATTCTGGGATAGAACTCAAGATCAAAGAGGCTCTCTCACATCTTCCAGGGAATGACTATAGAAACCAAGAGATAAATTAATCCTGTATAGATTATCAAAGGATTGAATTGTGAGCAACTCCTCCAAAATTGAAAAAGTAGAATCAGGACTCTAACTCTTCTCCACTCCAGTCTTAAAATTATAAAGAAAAAATGAAAAACCTACAGAATCTTACAGATGTTTCATATCAACGGTGAAATGATGGGATGCAATGCTATAAATGGCCATGTATTGGCATCACATTGAAAAAGTGATGCATTGCATTGGCATTGTATCAGAAAGCAATGCAAACAATGTACCAAATTATATTGCATTGCTTTGCTGATGCAATACCAATGGCAATGCTCTGTATTGAAGAATCCAATGCAAAGAATGCAATGCAGGGCCCCACATTGCTCTCTCAATGTGATGTAATAAAGGCCCAATGTGATGTGATGCATATGCGTGCATCACATCAATTACATTGGTGTTCATATATATTTGTCTGAAAAGAATCAGTGCCATCTCATTCTCTCATTGGATCTATCCATTTTCTCTACATCTGAATCTAATACCTCTAAACCGGACTATAGGGCTGTAGGGTCATATTCAAAATAGGTTGGGGGAACAGCACCCTAAAAATATAATTCTTTGGCTTATACAGGCCCTTTAGATTCTAAATATGAGGCAATTACCAAATTGGTAAAGCCACATTGTTTTATGATCAAGGCTGTAAACACAGTCACATGCCCAATCAGGGACCAAGTACATAAATGAGATTAATTGAATCCATGTTCATTCTACTTGGTTGGGCACTAAGCCCCTACATGTGGGATGAAACTATATCAAGCTTAAAGTAGTCTCAAGTGTCTATACCAAGTATTATGAGGACATTATACCAATTTCATAAACACTAAGAAAACTTGATGGATTTACAGATTTACCAAAATTTGAGACAGCCCCAAAGCTTTACACAGTGATTCTGGATGAAGGTTTAATCTTGTAACACAGTTCTCTCTGGTTTTATTGTGCTATAGTTCATTAATAATGAAATATCTTGAATCATGCATTTCTCAGAATTATGTGCTTTATATTTTTCATTCTGAAATTGATGTTATACCAGTAGTTTGGCTGGAGTAATACTGGCCAATTTGATCTTATTATTTTGATAATTACTAACATCAAATCTGAATATGTCCAAAGTTGATCTCATTTTTTGATGCTTGCATGATTTATATTAGCCAACAGTGTATTCAGTATGGTGGATGAAACAGAAGGAACAAATTGATTCAGGTATCATGATTGGCCAGAGGAATTGAAAGGAAATGAAATGTTCAAGCTTTACTCTATAGATTGATAGACATTGTTAGTGAATTAAACTAAATATGATTTGAAACAGACACTCACATGCCTAGTCTAAATTTCCATGTTTACCATTATTATCAGGTCATTTTGGTACCAATATTGAGCCTGTGCAATCTAAGTGCCAATTTGAACATGTATTTATTGAGCATAAAATCCCAAGACTTCTAACTTATAAGCATTGATCAAGTAGTTTTTTCAAGACATGCATAAGGACTATTCCCAGTTAATTAAATGGTTGGATCTTGATTCTTTGATTGGGAAATTTGTGAAAGCAACATTGAACTTTTGCTTAAGATTTTTTTTTCTTTTCATTAAAGAATATTCTTGATTTTGTGATTCAGGCTCTTAATTTAGGGTCAGCCTTTTTCACTCCAAGAAAACCCCCCCGCGCACACCAAAAAAGGAGTGCACACCAAGAATTCTTGGTATGCAGTTCCAGGCACTCCAAAAATCCTTGGTGTGCACACCAAAATGAGCACAGCGAGGCCTAAACGTAAGACTGAATTTATAGCTTTTATTGGGCAGAAAGTTGACAATGCCTTTCTGTATCGGAGTGTTTACCTCAGAAGACAGGAAGACTCACTTAGGACCATGAGTATCCCTCAGCTCTGTCTAAAGTGCATCTGCTCTAGCCACCAAAGGTCCCAATCCATTGGATCACTTTTCAAACCTTGCGCCCTTGTAGTTTTCTGCTCTTTACCCATAAAAAGTGTACAACACCATAGATGGTACCTTACTGAAAGAAGGATCCATGTCTATTCATAGTATGTGATGTGAATTCCATGAGGACTATCAGCCTATCAGCATTTGAAGATAGTAATGTGAAGCCATCATGCCATGCTAGTTCCCATGGACATGGATAAATGTGCTTGTTAAACATTGACTCAAATGTATCTTGGGGCAAGAAGTCAAGAGATCACATCACTCCCGCCAATGGTCTTGCATGGAATCGCTCTATCAATGTGTTGGTATGAAAGAGGGATCAAAACTGTGGTTTTCAAGGTTTCCTCTCAAGATCCCCAGGCCCAAAGCTCATTGGTAACAATTCACCAAGAGTTTTTGTTGTCACTTTTGTCACCAGGTCTTCGGAACAGGAAAAAGAGCTATGGGCCATGTATATCGGCATCTGGCACACGAAGAAAAAGTGATGTTAGAAGATTGAGATTGATGTCAATTCATGGGGTCAAATTCAATAAACGGAAGTCAACCTTCGGGACAGATGATTGAGTGGAATTTGGAAATAGCGCCTGTACTTAACTTCTAAACTGCAAAACTCCCGCGCGAATTGTCTGCAAACCCCACAAGGAGAACATGCTCCGTCAATGTCCCTGTTTGGTTGGATGTTTGAAGGTGTGTTAGCTTCCAACCAAGACCCCATCAGATAGGATTCTTTACGAACGTTGCTACAGCCAAAGCCTTGAATTCCCTTTTCCCTTCGCTCTATCAATAACTCGAGGTCAGTCACTCAAAGATGTGAGAAACATGTGATAGATGACTTACGACCGCCTTGACAAATGCAGTCCTTTCCGCACAGGATCCCGGGCCTAATTTTCCAGGATTAAAGAGTGAATGAGCTCCTCTCGAAATGGATTTGTATCCAGATGTTCTTCGACTTGACTTGCGTCTAATGTATCAATTCCGGATGAATTAACACAGAAAAGACTTACTAAAGGCAGCATTCTCCACGTTACATCCCGTAATCACTTCATCCTCAATCGTCAGGATGGCAGCCCCTACTCGAAAGTTCGAACTGTTTTTTTGAAAAAAAAAAACATGAGACCCTTGTGATGCTGACCGAAAGAGTCTTCTGCTGAATGGTCATGGCTTACTATGGTGAATAAGAGAATTCGCGAGCTAACGTTTTCACAAATAGCATCAACGTCAGTAATTCACTCACAATAAACCTCTTCAAGTAGTTTTTTTTTTCGAGGCAATGTGGGAATATCATCCAGCTTTCAAGACTGTGTGGCGTGATGAAACTCGAGCAAGAAACAAGATCGATGCCTCGATCCATATGGCAGTGATTCAGGGATACATGCCCTTAAGGATAAAAAAAATCCCAACGAAATTCGTTGCAATATATATCCTACAGTTTGGATGTTGAAGGCTGGTAGACAAGAAAACAGGGCAGTGAAGAATGTGCAAGCACAGCTCGCCTGAGACGAACCTCGTAGAGCAGCCAGACACAACCTGACAATCTGGTCCTCCGGAATTGATGGATTCGCTGCACTCATTACCGCTGGCCAGTCAACTTGTGGATAGATCGATTTGGAGGGTCAGGTTCGGTTAAGGTAGCCTATCTATGATCAATTTGAAGAAAGCGGTTTGCTCAATTGCTTGAGTTTGCCAATGGGAGGCTGTCACAGAGTATAGCCTGTGACAGTCTAGAGTTAGATCGCTGGAGCTGTGACATGTCTAGTGGTCAACAGCCACCAAGACAGTCAACAAGACAACATCTCAAGAAAAACAACCAACAACCCATCTCAAGACCTCAAGACCATCCAGAAACAGCAACATCATGTCCCTCGTGGCCGCATCGGATCCACAAAACAAGATGATCGGTTTTCTTGATTCCCTGGTCGACTCATCTCTCGATACCAGCTCGAAATCGATCAAGAACCATCTCGGTCAGATAGACAATGAGATCACTCGGGTACAGGTTAGAAGCAATCGAATGTCTGGATTTGGTCATCATTATTTCTTAAATATGCAAGTTGACTGAGCTGATGTCCATCTTGTTTTGGAAATTAAAGACTCACATTCAATCGACAATCAAAGCTAGTTGGTCAGATTTTCAACACCAATCGATCACTGGTTCATCCCTATATCACCAATCTTTAAATCTGGAGGCTCAACTAAACCAGATCGACGATAAACTGGACGATCCTCAAGTTAGTATTCATTATCATAGTTAGCACGTTCTCTTCCAAAATCATCTCCCCCTTCAATCCAGGCTGAGGTCCTGATCTTCTATTCCTATCCTCTTGATCTTCGTACTGCTTCTGAGATATCTTAGGATGGTCTGGTTCCCAACCTACTCTGCGCCCTCAAGCATCATCAGGCCCTTTCTGCCCAACATTCTGAGTCATCTCAAAACGTGAAAGCCATCAAATCACTATCAACTGCCTATCAACAACTCTTAACGCTCTCAAAGCTCGTTCACTCAGATGACCTCATAACAGCTGTATCAAAACTACCACAGACCAAATCAGAGGTTGCACTCTTGAAACAGTATCAATCGACGTCAAGTCTTGCCAAGCGAGCTGTACTTCGAATTCAAGAGTTGGAAGAAGATCTAAAGCAACGGTTGATTGATGATGTCAAGGCTTGTCTTATCTTGGAAGATGATCAGAAAAAAACAGAACACTCGATCTTCAAATTCAACGTTTCTGTAAACGCTAGAACACCTCACCAGACACAATCGTTGATTCAGTGGAGTTCAGCTGTTGATGCGTTACAAACCCTGAGTGGCCAGGAGTTTATCACTACTCAACTCAAGAAAATCGCCAACATCTTGATCGAGAAGATAATCGTTCCTCTCATCGACCCGGTTATTAGTGGTTCAACGCACCTAAAGCTGATTCCGGTTGCAACTTCGAATGAACCAAATTGCGTATTGACCTTCGAGCATCAAGTTGATGGGAATTGGCTTGATCTGTACGATTCATTTCGATTACTGTTTTCCACCCTTCAAGACAGACTTTTGACAAAATCACTCCAGAATACATTCTCTCAGCACTTAACTCCACCTCTCGAAACCAAACTTACCGATGCTTTAGATTCTGGCTTACCCAGCTCCGCCCGTGATCAAGCCCGCCTCAGTCAATTGACCGACCTCTTAGAACAGACTCGCCTCTTCGGAAACTGGCTGCAAGATCATGATTGGCTTTTCAACTGCCAAAACAATCGATTAGTAGAATGGTGTGACAACGTCCAAGATCGATTTCTTCACAAAGTAGCCACTCGAGTCTTGGAACGTGCCAGAAGCGAAATGATTACCACGCAATGGGAAAGTGTTGTAGTGGAGTGGGAAATTGTACCTGAAGTCGAGACGTTACCTCCGTCCCGCAATGAAAGCGACTCTGCTCAAAAATCATCGCATACCATCGATCGTCCCACATCCAGCACGTCCGTCCACGGAGCCAGCCATCACTCAGCTGAGTCCCCCAAGCAAGCTGCAGGCTTCAGGTCCTTATTCAATCTTGTCTCAAGTACCTCTCATCATAATCAGCCATCAGCCGAAACGGCATCAAAACCATCATCACAACAGCCAGCAACGTCTGTATCGCCAGCCTCCAAGAACTTTCGATCTTTGTTCAACTTCGGTGCCGAGCGAGAAAACGTTCCCAATCCTGGAGCTTCTGATGAGCCTTCATCCACCTCAACAGAAAAGACTTCATCTCCCGAGATCATCGACCGCCTATCTGAATCTTCTCTATCTCCATCTAAGACAAAAAAACCATCTACCCCATCAAGCTCTCTGCATGAACTCCCATCCGATGAAATGGATAGCAAAATTGAAGAAGATGTGGACTGGGATATGAGTGGAGAGCTCTTGGCCGATTCAACCCCGTCTTTTACATCAACTTCTTCCCAGCGCCATACCCATTCCTTGAAAGACACAGTCGACGAAGAAATAGAAGAAGACGCGTGGGGTCTTGATGAATCTAATGAGGAGCCAACATTGGATCTGCCAGCTGAAAGTGCAAAGACGAAAGAGAACGCCCCGGCCACAATGCTCCCGACATCGCTGGTTTCGAAAGAAGTTAATGATAGTGCGGAGGAAGAGGATCCTGATCCAGATGCATGGGGGTTCGAGCAAGAAGAGGCCAGCCCGACTGATGATGAAATTATGAGATTGCGTGGGGGTCTGCCATCGCCTGTCTCAAGTGAGATAGATGATGACGGATGGGGCTGGACCGACGATCTTCCTACCGACAACTCAACCCAGGAAGTCGGTTCTGAAAGTAAAAACTCAGCAAGCAAGGTCTCCAATAAGACCGTATCGGACAATCTATCCTCTAGTCAAACGGCCCGTGTGGAGCAGTTGACGATTTCTACGCTAGCACAGCAAGTTTTGGACATTGTCAAAGAAGTTGTCGATGATGCAGCTGAAACCGAAAAGCCTGAGTGCGTTTAACTACCACAAGTATCTGATCCAATCAGGAAGGAAGATTACTTTTAGTTTTGCTGATTGTTTGTTTTCCCCGAGAAGTTTTCCTAGCCCTTGTCTCTCACAGTCCGCGCCTGGTTTGATTAAGCTGGCATTAGATGTAGTGGATCTATTCCGGATTGTGATGCTGGTCCACCACTCGAAGCTGCTCGACTCGGTTCCTTCACTCTGTGTCCAATTCTCACACGACTGTGATTGGTTATCAAAACAAGTCCAGCTGATCCCTCGATTGAACGATTTAGAAGAGACTGCCAAACTCTCTGAACGGTTGAAGGGGCTTGGTGTGACAGTACGAGAGAAGCAATTGGTAATGCCCCACATTAGCTCTTTCCTCAGCCTCAATCGTTTCGCTCATGATCACTCTATTATGGTTTTTTTTCAGGCTAATCAAAAGGCTGCGTTGATGGAATGTCTTGATGAGGCCGAAGGCTTTGTCAAGACTTCACGCGAAGATCGTTTTTCGGCTTGCGAGCGAGCATGCAAACAAGTTACACATACCCTTGCAAGTCTGGCTCAAGTTTGGAAGGTGAACAAACTACTTACTTTATTCATCCAAAATCCATCCAGAAGCATGTTATTCGCGAACTTATGACATGTTTTTTTTTTTTGCTTTCCTGAATGGGGTTTGAATTTAATAGCCGGTGATGCTACGATCAGAGTATCTGAAATCTCTGGGAAGCTTGGTCGAATCAGTGCTTCAACGGATCTTGAATGAGATTGAAGAACAGCCTGATATCGAAGAAAATGATTCGAAACAGCTGAACATTCTTTGCAAATCACTCCATTCTCTGATCCACTTATTCGACTTACAACCCGACTTCAATCATGTAAAATCTCATCCTCGTGCTTCTTATAATATCGATTGATTGGTCTAACGTTTGATGCTTATTGCTGATTTTCCTAGGCCGATATCTATCGATACGTTCCCAGTTGGTTCAAATTTTGTTTCTTGTCTGAATTGCTAGAAGCCTCGATGGTACGTCGCAATCCCAACCTCATTTTTCTTGTCCCCGTCATCATGCTTGTGCACGAGTGGAACGCTTCAACGTGTCCCACCTATTGAATCTTGGAATGATGACGGCTGATCGCTTTGCTTCTTTTGGGGTATCACTTAAAACATCATCAATCGATTCACAAAGGCGGATATTATGTGGATGTATCAAGAGGGACATCTGGGCGAATTCAGCCAACAAGAAATCGTCGGACTGATCAAAGCGTTATTCGCGGATAGTCACTTACGAGCCAAAAACATCGATCTCATCCTTTCTAATCAGTGATCACTGACTTCCTTTGTTTCCACTCACTTGTTTTCCCTCAATTATTCTTGAGCAGTCATGCTTTAGCAGTTAGTTGTAATTGTAATTCATGGCATGATGATGTGTGAATTCGAGATCAGATTTCGAATAGCAAGCCAAACAGTTTGTCTAGATTCTAAGGGTGTCCCCCATGTTTGCTACACCCGCCAACTTGCACATAGGTATCTGGTGTTTTTTTTTCAGGATTGTAAATGCTAGCTTCACACATAAATTTGGTCATACGACCGAGGCTACATTTACACCATAAAGATTTGGACGATTGCTGATCAAGCATCGTACACACACAAGACAATCAAAAGAATGATGTCAAGAGACAAGAAAACGAGGATGTGTTTGTACACATAATAAGATCTATAATTTTAGATAAGGAGCCGAGTTCGGACGGGTGGAGAGCAAAAGAAACGTAGGTATTCTATGAAACAGTTCCGTGCTTGAGGTAAAAAAAAAAATCTATAGGTTACGACACAATTAGATAAAAATAAGAAATAAAATAAAACGGTTGACAAGTGGGTTTTGGGTGCCTAATTCATCGATCTGACTTGCTTTAGATTGTTTGAACAGGATCGAATTGATGGGTGTAAGAGTTGAACCTAAACAATTCGAAAGATTTCCAAGCCTGGTTAAGAGGGGCATTCTGGAGCGTCAAGACCTTGGCATCATAGCCGACGATATCGACTGTCGGATCGGACAAGGGCCGAAAGAGGATCTGTTTCTGGATCCGCTGAATCTTTTCTGGGGATGGGTTTTCGATGAAGATGTAACTGAAAGACTCCGGTTGCCGGTTCTGATCGAACTTCTTGTCGTCGATCTCTAGGGATCGTAACAGCTGATTGACCGATCCATACCTAGTGCCCTGAATCCCATAGGTCTGCTCATCTTGGACTAGACACCATCGTATGTCAGATCTTTGATGCCATGGGGGTGCTGAGTGATTCCCATCAGTAGCAGTCTCCGTGGGGCCTGACTGTTCAATGTTTGCACCTGTCCCAATCCCACCAGGAGCACGCGACAGTGAAGTTGATGGCCCAGGTCCGCTTGTTGAAACTGATGGTGCGGGGATCCGATCGCTCGCAGGTACATGGCTGGCAGACTGGTTAGTTTGTGTTGGGATTGAGGAGTCCTTTGCTAACGGCTTATCTGGGAGCGTGGAATTACGCGCGGCCGGGCTCAGGACAGGCTTTGAATTGTCTGCAACATCAGGACAAGACAGTATACCTTCTTTTTCAATATCAAGTAAATCATACGCGAAGAAATCGCGATGCTTCGGGGTCAGGCCAATGGCTGAGCTAGTTGTTGATTGTACCCGTGCTAGGGTTGATGTCCTTTTTGCGGTTGGTATTTCTGTAGCATCCATAGGAATCGCAGATTTCTCAGAGGTTTTGACAGATGGATTTGTGTCTTTGGAGCTGGTGCTCTTCGGAAGTGTGGGTATATCCTGCTCGGCAGTCGGACCGAGTATGTTGGCCTTATCTGGAAGGGCCTCAGAATGGGGATTGTGTTCGGAAGTCTTCTGACGCTTGACATTCGGTCCTGTGCGATCTTTAGATTCCAATGCCGTCGGGGGAGCCCCTGGGGCGGCTTTGTCCAATTTTGCCGTAGTAGCCAGTCGGGATCCCCGCAGAGGAATCTCTGCTGGAGTCGTCATGGATCCAGAGGCTTTACGCTTCAAAAGCGGTTTAGTTGGATCAATGCCATCAACATGCGGAGCCGTGGCTTGTGAGCAGGCACGAGATGGTTGTTTGCGGGTGGGCTTGATTTCTTTTGATGGCGGTAATCTGGACCGGGCAGGCCGTTCTTCATCAAGAATAATTTCGGGATTGTCAGGATTTCCGGTTTCCATAGGGGCTTTCCCTTTCTGGGATGTGGCTGCTTTAGTTGCAACATGAGAGGAGCTTTCGTTTCGCTGAACGGTTTTGGAAGGTTTCTTCTTTGATGAGTCCATCTCGTTCGTGGCTTTTGAGGAGCCCGTCTGAATGGAGTTTTCTGGGATTATTGAGGGGATCTCTTTGACTGGCTTAGGAGCAGTGAGTTGAGTTGAAGACGAGTCGGACCGCGATTTGGATCCTCTTGAAAGCCACTTCAGATCACTTGTTTTCAATTTGTTATCCCAGTGCTCCAATTCAGCTCGAAATCCGTTGGCTGCTTCTTCCTGACTCCCACCCGAGATGATGTCTGCAATCCCCAATAGCTTGGGATCGGTTGCCCTTTTGGCCATCTCATCGTGTGTTTCAAGATCAATAGCTGTAGTCCAATCTCGCTCCTTCGGGTCGTGGAACTTCATGATTCGTGGCCACCTCAATTCATACTCCTAGAGTGCAGGACCCAATGCGATACAATGGAGAAGTGAGAACAGAGAAACTTGCTCGGAGTTTAAATTTTTGGACTCACGTGGTTTCTAGAGCGCTTGGTAAAACCAGAACCCATCAATTCAAAGACCAGGGGTTTTTTGAATATGATGGCGGGTTGACTCAATTCCCGAGCCAGTTCGTAGGTGAATGACCATTTTTTCAGTGCCTATGTAGTCGAGGATAACAAAATCTCAGTTCATATCACATCAAGAAGGAGTACGCATTAGAAGCCCGTACTTTGGAGTTAGGGGGTTCGCCCCCGATTTCCTTGGCGGTTCGGTTAGCCTGCTCAAGTTGCTGACGCGATAGCCCATAGGACAGAGATGTAAAAACGGCCTGGAAATGTGGACGGATACCGGGCTGTTGATGCGTGAAACAAGCAAGAAACTCAGGGCACACACCACACATCCAAGAGATGACGTAAAAATGAAAAATACAAACACTTCTTTTGATGTCAAGCGTGTTGTCACATAAACCAACATACCATGATACATATGTAGAAGTGGGCACTGGGAACATCATGGGAAAAATGTCAGCATCCGAAAGCAGGAACAATATTTTCTAAGCCTGGTCTAACCCCCAAGTTCCCGCCCCCTGTTTTGATCCCAAGAAGCTCCAATAATTGCATAATCTGCCGTGTCTCCAAAGCCCTGGATAAAGTCTGTTAAGGAGGGCAATCAAATTCAGATTTATTACTCGGTACAGAAATTCAAGATAAGTAGGTTGTTGCGTACCTTTTTTCACTTTAAGCCACTTGTGCTCAGTCCTGGAATCGTTGTAGACCGACTCGGCCGTTTTAAGAACCAATCCTTCTAATAATGTCAGATGAGTAGTAGAGGGCCGGTCAAATGAAAGTCATCCATGATGATAGAGTAAGCTTTAGACGCACCATGGCGCTCAGCTATCACAGCCGCATAATGCTTGCGCAGGGCCTCCTTGCCGGACTCACGACTGAGGTCAAACGATTTCCTTTCTACTAGCATGCTATAATGAGGAATAACATGGATACACTTTTCCAAGGCGTGTCTTCGCTCGTTGTATGAACCTGAAGAGGCGTAGCATGTCAGGACTTCAAATGATAACACATCCTTTTAACACCAAATTCTCAACGCACGTTCAAGAAGACTTTCACCATTCAGGTAGAGCACATCAAAAAAACATAATGCAAGGTGACGAGATTCAAGATCGGAGAGTTGCTGGGTATCCATCTGACCAATTTGACTTTCCGTGAACGCAGAAGACAAGTCATCGATCTCTTGTCTGAATGGGGAAACAAGTGGTGATAAGAAGGTCAAGTTGACTCAAGGAACACATGCTATTGAAGATGTAGACTCTTACTGACCTTTCGTTATATGTTTGCCAAGGCTTGAGTTTCATTTCTCTTATTCGCCAAAATTCGTCAACGTGGCCCTGCGACAAGTTCCACGCGACCATCTCGGCCTCAAATATACCCGATTCAATTTTTTTCAGAGTGGCTGGACGTGGAGTGGAGGTCAGGAATTCTGGGGCGGAGCTCAGATTAAATCCAAGAGCTGCTCGAATCAGGCTAAACAGGGCAAATATGAGGTTGGAAAGTTTATCAGTCTTGTGTTGTATGGTCAAGTAAGGGACTGGTATTTTCAAACTGCTAACCTGTGTGTAGGTGCTCTTTCACTTGTGCTATCCCGATGGCTCTTACTCAAGATCTTAATCTGCTCATTTTGCGGCTTCGATGTGTCGATATGAATTTGCATCCTGCAAAAGTTGAACACCAAGATGAGAAAATCCCCACATGTGTTGTTCATAGAAAAATACCTACCGCTCTCCATCCATTTTTGTTTCAGCCCAAACTTGGCCTGTCAACTTAGAGAGTGGGGCTGCAAGACAGGGTCCGGAAGCTTTGACGGTCTTGGGTATCTATTAATGAATTCGTAATAATTTCAGCAACTGAGCAAAGCTAGCGAGGTGATTGCAAGTAAATACGACCAACATTGACTAGTGTGCCCAGTTGAGGTTTGGATAAACTCGCAAGTAGTTTCTCATCGGAATCTGAAATGTGGTTTCGATCTGAATGGTTCCAGTTAATTCCAGGTCAGACCAAACTTCAGAGGGATGTAACATACCTCTTGGAATTCGCTCGCATAAATCTGCAGCAACATCGAAATCTGCCTTGGCTCGGTAGATGCGTGGCATTGCCCAATGCCAGGCTTTCATCATGCAGTACGGACTGATCTCCTTGAAGGCTGTACTATCGTAATCCATGAGAGAGATGTACACCGAAAGAGAAGGGATTGGATACAGTAAAGGACGAAGGTCTTTCAGAATAATCTATGATAGATTCAACTGAAGCGGTTAGCTTCAAGCAAGTACAGAATGCTCTTCGGAATCACTCGCCTGGGTCATGTATGCAGACTCTCGTGGGGATAGCGGGGCATAGAGATCATACAGGATTGCAGTCGCAGATCTATGGCTGTGGTCCTGAGGAATGTGGTCTGTATGCCGTACAAAGAGCAAGATGATCAGTGAGCGTCGCAAGAGGGGAAGGCGGTGTTACTCACAGCCGAGATTGGACCACTTCGAGCGTGCAGCCAATTCGTCAAGAAGCCGATCCACAACCGATAATTTCAAGCTTCCGGTCTGGCCTACTTGCTAACACACAGGAAAAAGCATAACCGGGGAAATCAAATCAGTTGATCGTAATCTGAGCTCAGATAACTGAGAGCCGTACCACATCTTCTAGAATTTTTTGAAGTTCTAAGCCCAGACATCCGGCTTTTCCAGTCTGGATACCATCCTGATCTTCGGTCGCAGAATCCCACAGCTTTAACATCTCGCCCCTCTGACCAGGGCCAGTGCTGACATGAAAGATCATACGGAAAAATCCCGCTAATTTCTTCTCTCGGATGTCATACCTGAATTGCCATAGGAAGTAGGCTGTGTCAGATTGGCCAAGCACCAAATCGAAAGGATGGATGACTTACTTGCGCCTGACGTCGTGATCAGGAAAGAGTAGGCGAAAGAGGATTTTTCCAGTGTGCTTGGGAACCGGCCAACTCAGATGATTGATCCATGTTTCAAAGTCTTTTGCGGCCTTGTCTGCCGAATCGTATGTAGCTGGGTTACGGGTTCCAGCCTTTCGGGGTTTTCTAGAGGCAATCTTATCGAGGTACATACAAAACGTAGCAAATGTGATTTCATGAGGCACAGCGGTTGGAGGGCGCTTGACATAGATCTTTGGCGCCATGGACAGAAAGCTTGGTTCTTGCGGGTGATATGTAGCTGTAGTTCTAGGCTTGTGGAATGATGGAAGTTGTTGATGGTGGTAATATCTCGGATGATGAGCTGAATCGGTTGGGTGGAAGAGTTGAGCTTCTTCTGCTGGGCTGGCATCTCATATCTTCGTCGCTGGTGGGGATGGCCGAGATTGGTTATAAGAGTGTCTGTCGTCGGTTCGGCGGTGTTTGATGTGGTCGGCCCGTCGGTCTTTTTGCCGATTGCGGTCGACTGAACCCAAGACACAGCGAGCGCTGCTCAGCCGGGTTTGGCACTACCACCGTGTCCGAATCGGGGACTTGGTCTGTTTCCGATCCTGAGTCCTCTCCTTCACCCGTCTCAAGTCCCCTCGGGCACCTCGTGAAAGAAATACATAGAAAAGTGGGAGCCAAAAAGGCTTTGCGCCTTGAATGGCTACCAGCACAAAATTCTTTAGACCCTGTACCGACAGCAGAATCAGCAGTTGACAGAGCTGTCTGGAGAGAAGATGTTGGTCGGCACAATCACCGAATACCCACAGAGCTTGACATGCAAGACTTCTTGCTGCAAGACCCAAGCAGCAACCGGGCAACAACACTGCAATGCCAACCCTGCTTCATCGCCGGTTGAGTTCCATTTTGTGGTATCCATAGGCCTGGAAAGGCCAGCATCTAGCTTTATCTCGATAAGCTGAATATTTATATTTTGACCTTTTGATAAATCGAGATGATCCTGGATTAATATCCCGATATGTCATGGATCTACTTCACTCCGAAACTATCACCATTCTCAACCAACCAAGCTCAGAGCTACTGGAGCAGGTTGCGTTTTGAAAGGTGATAAAAATCATGCAGAACATTTCACATTTGCAATGATCTTTAACTTTTCCCCCACCCACCGCCGTCTCTGAAACCGAATTAGCGCTGTGAAACGCACAGGCCGCCGGACGCCCAGAGGCTGCCTGGCCCAATGGTCAAGGCGCTTGACTACGACTGCAGACTGCGCAGCCGTCATCAAGAGATTCCAGGTTCGAGTCCTGGGGTGGTCGTGCATTTTTTGGGGAATGAAGTAGGTTTTTTTGAACAAATGTAGCAGATTTCATTCTCACTTACATATCAACCCAGTCCCTCCTTGTGACCTCCAAAGGAGATGGGTTTGTGGCATGGCACCTTACAAACTCCCAAGTGTGTACAGTCGTTTAAACACACAAAGGGCAGGGGAGGCTTGTATCCAAAATGATCTTGCCTGTGTGTCACAGTGGGCATTTGAGGTCCCAATTTTTTCTAAAATTTATATAAAATCCTTTCATGTGGAGTTTCGTATGCAGTCATGGAGTGGTTAGTGATTAATGATGCATTTTGTAGGGTGGAAAAGAAAGTCTCATATTTACCGCTGTTCGGCTGCTACATCAACAGGATGATCAGCCTGAGCTACTGCTTGTTTCCTTCGCAAACTCATCTTTGGGTTTCATGTTTCAGCCATCCATGTGAATTCCGCATGCTGACTTCGACGGAGACTTGACTTTATTAACAACAGTACCAGTTTCACGCTACAAGCCTGCAAAAACAAACTCAGCACTCAATCAGCACCGACAACCACAGCCAGAATATCTTTCACAGCAACTACATAAAACCACTTTAACTTACGATGGCTGGCGAGGACAACTCGTTCGTCAAACAGTCGCTCACCGAGACACTCACCGGCCCATCCGGAAACTCGCGACTGGCCCCGAAACCGACCCTGGGGAGAACGCGCAAGCTGATCAACTCGAAGGACATGGCCAATCGGAAGGCCAAGGCGGACGAGGAGTCAGGCGGGATCCTCAAGTCTCTCGGACTTACGCCAACAGCCCGGAAAGCTCACAAGGCCTCGCCTGATAAGGAAGCTGTCACCGATTGGGAGGAGGTCGACAACCTCGACGGGCTCACCGAACCCACCTCACTCCATTCATCCACCAACCCATCCTCCTCCCAAGCCCACCACACCTCAAGACGCCTAGCCGGCTCAGAGGAATCCAGCAAACCACTCAAGACCGAGTCAGACTCAATGCATCTCAAATCACAGCTCCCACCATCCTCATCTGACTCGCCCAAACGTCGGCAGTCTTCACCCAAATCTAGCGAGTCGACCATCGTCCTCACTTTGCGTCGTCAGCTTGCCGAGTCTCAAAAGGCGCGCGAAGAATTGGCATCCAAGAATGCAAAGCTAGAACGCGAGTTGAGCGAGCTTAAAGAGGATAACAAAGTCAAGGCTGATGGCAAAGTCTTGGGAGCAAGAGAATATGAAGAGCTCGAGAGACAGTTTGATGCCCAAGAGAAAGTTAGTTCCCTTTCTTCCTCGTCGAGGATTCCCTGATGTTCTACTCACGAAGAAGCATGCTGACTTGATTTTAATCGGGCATGGTCTTGATACTTCTACAGCTGCTGAGTGGGTATCAGCGAGAGAATGAACGGTCGTCGATCGAGCTAGAAGCGACCAAGGGAAAGATGACGAAGATGTCGCATCTGCTAGTGAAAGTGTATGGAGCGGATTGGGAGGACACGATCTCGAGTATGAATGAGAGTTCGCCGGGCGGGCCGATGAAGCAAAACTCGCTCCCCAGCACGCGGATCCACACCTCTCCTTCGACGATCCATACCACCACAATCCCGAACAGCCCATCGGAGAAGCTGAGTCTTCAGTTAGCTCAAGTCCAGTTACTCGTCCAGGGCATGGAAAGACGCTTGGTCAGTCGCGAAGCCGAACTCGAAGACTTGCACAAGCAGACTAAGCAGGAACATCTCTCCTTGCAAGACTCCCTCAATCGCTCTCTCGCTAAATCTCAGCCCCCTAAATCGGCAAAATAACTCCTTTTGGTTCTGTTGATCATGTCTGCTGTTCAAACAAGTTCTCCTTTTCCCTTGTTCTCATCAAGGCACCAATTGTTTTTGCGCGTCAAAACCAAAAAGGGAAAAAATATCTTTTCTTCAGTGTTTTGCAACGATCAGAATCTCTTGCAGTCCTTTCAACTTATACTTTAGACGATCAAAACAGCATTGCTCTATGTTGAAAAATGTATATATATATAGATAGTCAGATACAGTGATTGCTTGTATGTTGTATGTATGTAGTTTTGTGAAAAAAATAAGATCAAACAATTGCATCAAGTTACTTCTCTCCTCACCCATTGACAGCCAATCCCAAAAAAAAGACAAATGATGTTTTGTTCCCCTTTAATTTGTACAAAGGTTGGATATGTGAACTTATTCTGCTCATGTGAGGGGGGTTCATAGAATTATCAAGCGGATCAGATTGTATGTAGGGCTTTGAAACATAAGGCAAACCATGGGATCAAGCTGCTGTTGAAGTGTTAAGAAACCTCCAGAGCCTCAGTTGAAATGAGCAGGGGAAACCGACTCTTATAGAGAACTAGGATTACAGAGGGACAAGATATCCACGCTGGGTGTGATGATGTATTTGTAGTGGCATCAAAAAAATATGTCTTCTCATCAAGCATGAGGTTTCTTGTTGTCTGGATTTATTGATGTGTGTCAAAGTGTGGGAGGTTCCATTTTGTGTGTCTGTGTGCGCACCACAGCTAGAGACTTTGGACAAGCTCAAAGCAAATCATGTGGACATTATGGTTGAAGTTAGTCTGGCAGCTGGCCACTGATCCAAGTAGGGGGCGCAAGCACACACACAAACTCTCTCCTGCTCTTTGTCCTTTGAATTCTTTCTCCACTCTTGTCACACATTTCTTGTTTTTTTTTGATTGCTTATTTCTTATTCCTTCATATGTATCTCAGTGTGAATGTGATCATGCTGTGGTTAGTCTATTGGAACTCCTGGCTGTAATATAAAACAACAGTTGGGATCACTGTGATCAAATTCTCTCTTTTTGCAAGCTGGCTGAGTTGGATCACTCTCCCTTACATCAGGTTAGTTGTACCAACCTTAGGGACTTGGTTGAGCAAATCACTGGTGTTGATCAAATCACCAGCATTGAGCCAATCGCCAGCTTTGAAGCAGGGTAATTAATTATTATTTGACCAATCCTTTCAGCTGCCTGGGGCAGATGGGCTGAAATATTCTTGTCTTTAACTGCAAGAAAAGCCCAATTGAGCTCTAATGAAAGAAATCAAGTGATGGTGTATGGCTAACCTCTTGAAGACCTCCATATCTTCCCATACCAAAGGCTTCTATTGGCAGGAAACTTTGTAATGCTATCTCTTACGGTTCTTCAAGCCAATTTTGGGCACACAACTGATCCAGGCCAATCTTCAAGCATGCATTTCACACTCTCAACCCCCCCCCCCCCTGAGCACCAAAGCTATCCAAGTCCCTCCTGCCAGCTCTTGCCAGCAAATTCTTACTGATGATTAGGTAAGCTGGTCTTGACACATCATAAAGTTTTGAGATCAAGCCTCACTTGGCCAAAACAGCAAGTATACCACGTCACCAAAAATGTGGGGTATCTTATGTATCTCTCCTAAATGACAGCCATCACTTCATGTTTTTGGTTGGGACTTGTGCTAACCAACAGAGGAAGAGGGCTCCCTACTGACTGTCCAAAAGGGAATCTTTGTTGGAATTTTCAGCTCCTCTTTTCTGAATTATGAGTTGATCTTGCCCTCTACTACTTTATCATCTAATTACATCAATTTATATTGTCCTAGCTTATGATATATATTCTATCACTGGCCTCTTTTGTAGCTCAGAAGCACCCTTTGCAGTCAACAAACCCTAGGAAGATCATCTTTGATGACACTCTTGTTCAAAATCCTTATGTTGTACATATATTCATTAATACAACCACTTTTTTAACCAGCTTGTACAAAGTCTGTTTAGACACAACTAGTTACAAACAATCTAAACTAAATGGCTTTTTACACTCATTTGTTGCCAAACTTTTAACTGTTCTGATGAGCAATTTCCATCACTATCACTCTCTTTTTCCTCTGCAATTAAAACCAATTGTCTCAGTCAGTCGTAAGTTCATCAATCTTCCCTCCTCAATGGACCAGTTCGTTACCAAGTGTCAGTACTTTAATCTCCTTTTCTCAACAACTGGGTTTGTTCTGACAATCAAGTGGTTTTTTATTGTGTGTATCCTTCTCAAAGGCTGGTCCACAAGTCATTTATCAATTGAGGTGATGATGAATGATCTATGCACTGAAGCCTTCCATTGATCCAGTGAGACTTTGCTAGGTGCTTCCACCTGTTGGGGATACACCAGAGTTGAGGCTTGTCACTATTGTTCCAGGGAAAAGGTTTGGAATTTTTACTATTACCTTGGGTGTGTTGAGTTTGGAGCCCACATGTCCTCAGGGGCTCAGTTGATTTTTGAATGTTTCATCCAGCTGAAGTATGGTTTATTAATCAGCTGGATCTTTCTTGCTGGTATCAATTCTTGCACCACCTCATTAACACTGGCCAATGCTGACATTATTAGCATCAAGGAGACCATCAACACTAGGGAAAAATATAGCCACTTGTCCAAAGCCATAATGGTTGTAGCACTGATTGTGCTTGTTCTGTCCTATAAATGGACTAAAAGTTGTACATTTCCTTCTTTGTCCTCTGCAAGGGGCAGTAAACAATCACAATGACAAAGGGATACATGATGGTGATGGTTAGCTGGTTGGCCGTGGTCTGATGCCAACTTTTTTGTTTTCTCATTTGTTCAAATGAGCAGGGGACATCATTCAAGAACCCCCTGCTCAATTTGAGACGAAGCGTAATTATTCTTCTTGATGATCCTAGTGAGGGATGGAATGGCTGATCTTTTTTTTCATGAGGGGAAATGGGTGCCTAAGAGTTCTCAAGGGAATCAATTCTTCATTAAATTGAGCAGAACAGGCCCGTGCAGGTTGCCAAAATGCATCTTCATTACCAATCAATTGACACCTCAATACAAAGTCATGTTGTTGAAAAAGGATGAAGTGGTTTCAATTCAATGGATATGGCAAGTGTCACTGTCTTTTCTCTTGTAGCCTGAATCAGGAATTATGATTGAATACATTTCAGGAGATAGATTTAGATGGAATACAAGGAATTGATCAATTCACATGATGATATTCACTATTGGAATGAGATGGCCACCTGGAGCTGACTGAGCGGGCTGAGTTAGATTTGAAACGGAATGAATGCCCGGCAGTTTGGACACGTCGGAGGTCTGGGATGCAAAGCTTGCAACCAGCTCTATATAAAAAAGTGAAATTCAAGTCAGAAGGTGTGCAATGATTGAGTGAAAGGAAGGAGGCTTACATGAATGCAGGCCCGGTGAAAGTGATGCGATGGGTGGCACGGTAGTACCACAACACCATCGGCTTCGACGTATTCCTGTAAACAGACCGTGCACTTTATGGAGTCAGTCTGAGGAGAATCTGATAACAAAGCTGTCAGGTTTGTGTTGGTCAGGCGATCGAGTAAGGTGTCGAGGCGGACAGGGTCCGTCTGGTTGATAAGCCGCTGGATAACTCTGTTAGTGGCCTCGGGAAAGTTTTCGAAAATGATTCGTTCTCCAGAGGGGAGAGACTGCAGGATTTCTTGCCACGCTTGTACCGGCGTGATCATGTTGTCTTCTGAAGTGGCCCGAAGCTGGCGGACAAATGCTACAGCCTCCGGACGCATGCCCGGGTGGTCCCCCGCATCCCGCAATCTCATATCTTCGTCGTCTATTTGAAAGTGCATTGTGCCACGAACGGCCACGGCAGCGTTGGGTTCTTGAGGCGGTGCGATCCGCTGTGCCCCGTCAGTAAGCTGAGGCTGGGGGGTTTCTGGGGCGACAGGCTCGTCATCCCGCCCAGCGTTTAGGTTGGGTTCCGAAGGGGAGGGAGTTCCATGTCCAACACGTTCTTCAGAAGGGCTAAAGCCGCCTGGGCTTTGTCCTAGTTGGCTATCAGCAGATTCTGAGTCGCTGGGAGTGGAATTTGGGTCCATTTTTACGATGATGAGGCTGAACTTTCTGATTGAAAAACTGTTTGGAGAAGCAAGGAACTTGAACAGGTGGCTCGGACGGAACTGGTTGTGGGCGGGAGGGTGCAGGTGAGGAAGGGCGACCTCAGGAAAACTAAGCTGTTTATATAGACACCACATCCCGTTAAAGCTGAGCTCTTCCAAGTTTCATGTGTGTGTTTTTGCATTACGTGCATTTTCCAAATCGCATGATGACAGGCAGACAAAGCTTTGTTCGGTTGAATTAGTTGCTTATTATGGGGAGGATTCCCCACAAGAATGCTTTTAAAGGTCATTCTCCAATAGCATTCTGATCCATTTCGTAGCTGATTTTGTCGACATTCCACATGTGAGCCGATGACGCGCCTGCGTTCACAGAGAAGCATCTTCATCAAATACATGCGCGTATGGTCAAAATTGATTACATCTATCACGTTCCCTCTAGGGAGAAAGTCATTGGAAGCGTTGGTTTTTTCGTTTTCTTTGACCTTATGGGTACTCCCAGACAAAGCTCAAATGCGAACCGCGTCACAGGATCAAACGACGGTGTCCTTCTTCAGATATTACACTTGGCTAGACCAGATATAAGCGGGCTATCTCTGACTTCATCCGGAATTCTCATAGACCTCACCATGATGAGAAAATCGCCCTGTCAGGAAGCCGATCTGGTTGACACCCTCGCCGAAATCTCGGACCGACAGATATTTTCAACAAGCATTATGTTACAGTCTTTGCTTTGGAGCGGTAGTGATTCTTGATGGTTCCTGGTTGGTTCCAACCAGCTCATTTTACTTGGACCGGATTCCCAATGGCACTTGCGCTTCAAAGGCAGGCTACGGATTTGTTTGACTGCTTGCGTAATCCTAGATCCAGCCTCAAGATCAAAGATGATCGCTGCTTCTGGTGCCATTTGATTCAAAGTCAGTGGCGTGGCCAATAGGCAGAGAACTTGGTATCTCTGCGCCCCTTGCCAACAATGATACTCATCAAGTTATTGAGGGTGTTTTACATACTTAAACATTACTTCAAAGTTTACTTCTACATCTAGACTGGTACAGTACATTACACTGAGGAATTGAGAGGTTCAAAAACTATACTAATCCTTACACTAACAAATTAGGTGAACTCAGAGAGGTTCGATGTTTGAAGAAAAAGGCGAACGATCGATTAAATTGAGCAAGTTAGCCTTACATCGTACTTTGCGAGACTGGAGCTTGAAAGCTAGATGAAGAGTTCCCAGCAGGCAGCATAAAAGAATCGAAAAAAGAAGCTGCAAAATCACAAAAAATGGTTAGATTGCTGAGGGATGATGCATGGTTGTGAAAGGAGTCAATTATACCTAGTCCATTGTGATCCTCTATTTCCGTCACCAGCGAGACATATTGATCCGGCCGAACCACCACCATACATCCGACTTTGGGGTCGATTCCATAATTCTCGTATATCTTTCCGTGTCCTCGGTGGTAGCTTTCGTCATCGGAGAATCTGATTTAAAATTTTGAATAGCTTTAGAATTATTATCAAGAAGCGAGTCAGGTGACGACAGCTCAGGTGCCTACATCTTTTTGTAAGTCTGGAAACCGTTCTTGCCCAGCTTTGGCCGAAGGATGTCGTGAAAATCTTCACACTCTAGTTGAACGCGTGGTGAAGCCAAGATGGTGAGGAAGTTGAAAACTGAATCCAAGTTGGCATCCTTGGGGGTGTACTTCATGATAGGGCTGGCCGGGTCGTTAGCCAAGAACCCGCAGAGCTTTTCCAAACGAAGCCTGCAGCCAGAATATTTCTTTACATCTCCGCCGAAGAGCAAAATTTTCCACCGGCCATCCGCGCAAGCCAGATCCCCTAACATGTACGGCTTAGCATCAGCCACCCCGACTACTTGGTGACTATAAAGACGAGGGCCGATGGGAAGCTTGCTGGCGAGTTCATTTGCGATTTGCCGTCTTTCATTCTTCGATACTAGTGAGCTGGAAGGGTAGTCAACCGAAGTGCCACTGGAGAATATATTCCCTCTCTGGACTGTTCTTTGGAATTCTTCCATAGAGATGCCCGATTCGTCGAGTACGTCTTTTGCTGGTTTTCCTGAAAACAGCCGAGCAAACTGGTACATTTCAAGACAATCAGTTGGACTGTTGCAACTAAAAGATCCTAGAATTAGTTGAAAGATACGAGGACAATTTCTGTTACCTTTTGGTCAAATTCTATCAATTCGTTTGCGACTTGGCTTCTCTCTATTTCATAGGTTTTCAGAATGCTAGGGTGGGCCGTTTTTTGAAGGACATGCGCTAGCTTCCAAGTCAAGTTGAATGTGTCCGCCATTGAGATGCTACACGAGAAACCACAGATAAACTTACTAAGTCAGATTCTTCTTAGGAAAATTTGATTGTTGGTACTCACTTCATTCCTTGGCCGGCTTTGGGGGAGTGAGTATGACATGCATCACCGGCAATGAAGACGCGATCGTTCCACACCCAATGGTTGGCCAACCGTTGCCCAATTTCATAGCAAGTGTACTAATATTGCAACCAAACGTCAATAAAAGCAGGAAACAATCGTTGAAGAATGATGAAAACATTTACCCATTCGATCTTCGGGATATCAATCGTGTAAGGCGCCAAGATTGATTGGGCTGCCTTCATTAATCTATCGGGGGTGACATCCGCACGATTGGGTCTGGTGCCCTTTTTAGGTTGAGGTATCTGGATATAAAGCCGAACCATGTCCTGCTCTCGGGGTATGATCATGACTGAACCACTTTGAGCCGAATGAATTGCGCATCGCATCCTGATATCAGGACTATCATAGTCACCAAGCAAAACTAATCATTTTAGCAATAACGCCCCACAGATCAAACCCCGGGTTCCAGGAATACTCACAAGTTTGTGATCGGAACCCCATCCAAAACACCCCAGAAAAAGTCGTCACTCTCGCCGACCAACTCATACCCGATGGCTTGCCGAGTCCAACTCCTAGCCCCATCGGCGCCTATCACAAATCGGCACCGGACTTCTTCAATAACCTCTTCACTGGGAAATCCGACTGGATTTACATCCAACGCGTCATCTTGAAACATGTTGGAACGGAAGATTCCATCTGCAGCCATAGGTGAAAACTGTGCAGGTTGGGCTTCTTCTTGAGTGAGGTGACGAAGTCGGACGACGATGCGTTCCTCCGGAGAATCAGACAATGCCGAGGCTGTCAAGGGTGGTAAAGTGAGCATTTCGGGACAAACAGCTCTCTCTACTTTCATGCGAGGGAGGGCAGCGACAAGATCTGTGCCTTCTGACTTGTCGGAAGACGAGGGTGTTGACCATTCTGAAATTTTGTCCAGGAACATGCGCTCGATTCTCCCTTGGTGTACAACTGATTGTTGATATGGCGAGATACCTGGAATGGTCTGGGTAAGATTCGAAGTAGGAGCAGAGTGAACGATAGTAAGTTTCTAGAACGAAATTATAGAGATGAACAAAGGAAGAAGGAAAGGCATCTTACATCAGGGATTCGGGCAGTCCGACCAATTTTTCCCTCAGAGTCGGGATTCCAGAAGCAGATCTCGCCTAGCTGATTAACCTCTTCAAACAAACGAGCGCCCATTCCAAGTGCTTGAAAGACCTGTTGAGAACATCATCAATATCAGTTTGAATTCCACCGACAAGTGGCACTGGGGAACCACTAGAGTAACACTTCACTTGCCTCTAAGGATCGTGGGTTGAGTCCATCGGCTTGACCCGTAAAGACCTAAGAGCAGGAGAAAGAAGCCAGAAAGAATGTTCAACATAAATGATCGGATCACCTCATCCACAGGAGGAAGAAGTTTGAATTATGTGCTTTACCTTAGTGCCTCGCTTGTCAATGATCCGGACATTGTGGATGCCATAACGTGCCAAAGACGCGGCCGCCATTAAACCGGCTGGACCCTAATAAGAGATGAAGACAAATCAGCTATCAGTTGCCGAGACACAATGTGGTTTGGGGGAAAAGGCGTACGGCTCCGATGATTAAAACATCCACATCCGAGGATGCATGCTTGACCGGCACTTCTGAGGATGTGTTTAATGTTGACATATTGTTTTGAGAAAAGATTTGCAAGATTTGAATAAATGCGCGATACTTGATGAGTTTGACTTGACTGAAGATTTCGATTGAGTTTGGTGACTGAGATTCGGGAATTCAAGAAACTGATGATGATGATGATGATGATGATGATGATGATGATGATGATGAGGAAACTGAGGGTCTTTTGCGGCCCCATTATATATGCACTCGTCCAGACACTGGAGACGGAGTTTTCAGTCATCTTAGACCGGTCACCTAACTTCAGGCCTGGGAAAGTACGCTATCATGCTCAGTGAGGATCCGGTTAATGAAGGCACCTGCCAGGGTTGGGGCATGATGAAACCAAGTTTCTGTAGGACCGGTGGTGCGCATTAATGAGCTTTAGGATGGACCAGCAATCAATGAGTGGACAGTCTCCGGCATTTTGTGACCAGTTTGTGTTTTAAGACACAAGCACTACTTTGCATAAAGCAGAGTCATGGAGTGCAAGTTCCATTCAAGAGGAAAGACTTGAAGGCGCGCATACATGGCCAGGCGGGTTCAAAGAATTTGTGAACTGTCCATAGTTGGGGTCACTAATTGGCTTGGCACCAGGCCACAATTTTTAATCAACCTCGGCATGCGATCCCTCCACCGGGCTCATCTAGATAAATGATAATAGAAAAATGGACTAGGAGAGAGGGGGGACAGGAGATTAGAGGCTCGCAAGACAACAGCTAGCTAAGGGTCAAAGCAATGAAAGGAAATATCATTCTGTTCAGTACCGGCGCGCATGACCAGAAACACAAAACTCAAACGGCGTCCTGCGTTTTTCGAGGGCATTTCGTCAAGTCCCGGCTATACTAATTACCAGAGTATGAGTTGTTTACAGATGGAAACCGGCCGGAGTACTTTCAGTCAATCTCATAGCCAAAAACAAATACTTGATGAGTTTTTTTTTTTTCTTGAAAACGGCTAGAAATTTCCCTCAACCGCAAACCTGGCACCATGCCTATCATTTGTTTATCGACATTTGAGGCCTTGGTAGCTTGTCATCCTCTGATGGCACGGTTGCGTTTTCCTGTCCAATATGAATATTTGGCTCTATGGCCAGTTCTTCGTCTCCCGCCGCGGATTCTCACCCTCAAAGCACCACCATGACCATGTGACACGTGGGCAACGATTATCCGGCGGCTTTAGAATCTTCCAAAAGCGCTTTGTGATTTATGCCTCTTCGTCATTTTAAAGCCTCCTACCTGGCCCGCCTAAAGACATATTGCTTGCATGGATGGCCAATAATTGAACGCCTTCCTTTTGAACAGTTTCTGCTAAACCTATCTCAAACACAAGCAAACAAGAGCCATCGGACTAAAATTACATACATGTCCTAATTTGGAAATGGTAAATGTGGAGCTCCTTCTTGTTATGTCATGGCGCGCGTGTCAGGAGTAATTTGAAAGGCTGTTTAAGTTAGGCTAAGGAACAGAGTTGATTGGCTATGGGCTCATGGCCCTCTGAGCCAAGAGTTTCGTGTTGAACTTGAATACATGTATTGATAATTTTCCGGAGGTGTGGGCCTCGGAGTCGCAATCATTCATACATCCTCAGAAGATGTTTGGAGATATCCGTTTGTTCCTTGGCGCGTCATCCGGAGGTAACAACGCCTTTGAGAGGAAAAACATGTGTGTAACTGATATATATTTAAATAAATATGCGGTGGTTCCCGCTGCAGTCTTCTTGAGCTCAACCAGCTCAACCCATGACGGCATCAGACTAAAAAACCATTCTGACTTGGATTCTTTATTGTAAATGAAACTTGGACACCAAATTATGCACGCGGTCAGTTTTACGTCATTTCCTATTTACCATTGTACGATTTCAGTAACCTAGAGCAAAACTCGAATGTGACTATTCCTCTTTGGTTCGGATAATAGCTGCTGAAGCTTTGCCTTGGGCTGTAAGCTCAGTCGCCGGAAAAACTGTTCTGAGGGGCTTTGCAATAGAGAGTGTGAGAGAGTGTGGTAAGACAACCTTGGTTTTTCCTGAAGGGAGTAAGGAACGGAATTCAACGAGCGGAGACCATTCATAGCTATATAAAAATGGTACCAATCTGCTGGCAGGGAATAACTCCATCTTTCCATATCTCAAGATGTGAGTGCCTGCTTGAAGAACTTGCGCTTGCAAATATCCTCCTCCCACCAGTTGGAAATGGGCGGCGGGCGGCTGCTGATCTGATGTTTCTCCTATTTTGTTGACTCGGTGCATTATTCCACGCTCAAGGTGTCAACCTACTTATGAGCTGCGGATCATCCGGCAGCCTCACTTTGGGGCCCAAACGACGGAAGAACAAGCTGCGCAAAACACCGGGCTTCCTATCGTTCCTGTGCCGATTATTCAGGTGATCCGGCGCATCAATGGAGAAGAAGTGTGAGTCCCCGCATTTCAACCATGATGTCTTCCCCTATTGAGCCCCCAGCCACGCACTGATGATCACACACTGAACCAACTATCTTAGCCCTCTGGAATTAGCGGAGGCGATGCGGCTTTTTCTGACTCCGCATGCTGTGAGGGTGGCTGAGGATGGGAGGCTAGTGGAGGCACCCAATCAAGGTCTTCGATTTGAGCCAACGAGTCCCATTATGGATACACAGCCAGAAATAGCGGACGACCAAGGCCGCTGGCTTTTCGTGTTCGGCGATATTGGTATTCGCGACCTCGGCCGATATCAAATTCGTTTCACCCTTTGGCAAGCGTAAGGAGGGTTCATTCCAAGCAGCCGATGAAATGATTTTTGCTGACACGCTGGCAAGCCACCGCGGCGGTTGTTTCTTTTATTTAGCGGGCAGGACAGCTCGGATCTACTCGCTCAAGTGAGCACTGAGACATTCCCGGTGGTAGAGCGTGATGACTGGCCACTGCACAACGATTGTGAGTCAAGGCAATTCGACATTTTTTCATAATTATTCCAGAAATTCGAGCTCAAAATGATATGGTGACGATGATTCAGGGGACACTCCTTTAAGTGCACGACTCGCTCGTGATCACCCGTTCGCGAGAATTTACAGGCCGCCGTTCTGAATTCTTCCAGGGGACGCCTTGGAAAAGTCTCGAAAAAAACATTCATCAACCCGCAAAAAAGTGATTTCAGCTAAAAGACACATCATCAGCCCGGTTCACGTTGGTAACTTTAACACCACATTTATCACTTTTAACATGAAATTTTCATAAGATATTTAACTTTTCCAGATTTTGTTGGAAACAAGAAAACCTGGATGTGTATGTAAATTCTTTGTAAAATTTTATCGATGAACGTGTTACAATTGGCCTCAAGGTTTCCCAACATGAATCGGGCTTGTCCAAGGCTCTGTCAATGTTTTTTGTACCTGTTTTTGTTTTGAATTTTCGCAACTGTTGTCATAAGTCTATTCCCTCTATTCGCTATCGTTTGAATTCCAAACTCACAACATGTCTCCCCAAGATCCATTTGTTCTTACATCCACTCACAGTGACCGTCTGCGTAGCTCAAATGAACAGATATTTCCCAAAGACCAAGAAGATTATCTCTTCTAATCCTTCTAACGTTTCTTTTTCCACCTCATTTATATTTTAAACCCGCTATTTTTTAGTTCAAGCATGCCTCCTTTTCACGATGGATTATCACCTTTTTCATCTTTGGCTGGCGAGTCACACTGCATCTGACTTAACACAAGTCCCTTGCTTCAGAGGGCTGGCGTGAAGCGCCCTTGCGCGAAGCGGGGGAGCTTTTGCATTTTTGGTGGGAGAAAAATTCCCCTCACTTATCTGTTGCTTTCTCCCCACAAATTCTTGACGCCTGTGGTATCAGACTCAAGGCCTTAATTTTCTCTTTTTTGTTGGTGTCAATCACCTATTTTTCCTCCTTCACGCACTCCTCCCTTCCCCCTTTGAAGTTTTCCTCTTTTTGTGTGTTCAACCAAGTGATGTGTGTGAATTCCCAAAAATTCCGAGCAGACTCAATTGAAATACAGAATTCCATCTTCCATCCACCTCAGCTTCTGGGCAAGGGCAGCACCCTCCTCCAAGTGTAGGTAGGGAGAAAGTGAGACTACATTCAACATGAGATGCTCAGCTACAAACTGCCCTTCACCTCGTTGTCTCATGATGAGTATTAATCTCATAATGTGACTTCCACATTTTTGGAAGCTCTCAAGCAGGAAAGCCACAATAACTCATAAGCCTCCCATTGGGAATGGGAGCTAGCTTAACAAATCCCCTTGACAGAGGGCCGGAGGCAACTCGCGAAGCGAGCCTCTGAAAGAGGGGCTTATGAGTCAAGTCAAAAGTTCAGCCCAGAAGCTGGTACATTTTGTGGCTTTTTTATGGTGTCTTACTCTAAAATGCCCATTACTCCAAGGGCATTCATCCAAAACGGTAGCGGCAAACTGTGTCGCATAGGTGAGCATAAGACCTTGCTTTCCATATATTTTTATTTTTGTTTTATTGGCTAACACTCATCCATCCTTTGGATAGAAATTTGAGGTCTTCATTCGACCAAGAAATGGGCTTATTGCATGAGAGGTGGTAAAAGGCATAGTATGCCCATTACAGTTAGCATGTGGCAACTGTTGTTCATTCCATACAGGTGTCTTGAGTTCCACAGAGCTGTACGTTATTGAGCAAAAGTCCATAAGTGTGTACAGGCGCATGAGTACAGAATATATGAGAATTTTGACGAAGGAACCTGAGGACCTTCATCATCCTCATAGCAAAATGACCTTCTTTGAAGGCATGTGGGGCCAAGACTAGACGGCTCCTAGCTTTGGGGCTGAGACAGAAAATGAGAGGCAACGGAGGCCATTTCCCTAGTCCAAACAGATGAACATATTTCCGTCAGGAAGTAGGCGAAATGGTGTGGGCAAACTTTTTCCCTACTAACCACCCCCAGCTTCCAAGCCACCACCCCGACATTATGCGCAAGTCCCTCCTTCGGAGGCTCGCTTCGCGAGGGGCCCTTGCGCCAGCCTGGTACAGGCCCTCCAATCGAGGGACTTGTTGTTAAGTTAGGAATGGGAGATGCTTCGCATCAGGGTGCTCTGCACCCCCAGTCCTGGGAGGCTTAGTCAAGTCAGCACTGCACAGGGGGTGCGTCCCCAGCTCCCCCGCGCCAGCGTGTGCTATACGTGGCTCATTCCGCGCGATAAAAGCGTTATTGGATATGCATGTCTGGTATTCAATTCAATTTGAGCTCGCTGGGTTTTAGACCACCCAGAATATTTGGAAAGTGGCTTAGCAGGGTACAATCTCAGAACGAGGCCTTCACAAGTCAGAATTAGGAAGTATTGTTAAGGCTGAACAGAATTCGGATCATATCAATCACAAACGGACACACATCCCTTTTTGGAGCGGGGACCTTACCATGTCAGCAACAACTCGCGCAGATAGCTCAAATCCAAACAATGTCACGGCGGATGGAAGCAATTATGAGCTCACACATGGTGGTGTAGGCTGGCCGTCATCGGAAGAAGAGGACCCAGATGATTTGGATGAGCAATGGGACGATTGGATTGAGGATGAAAGCACGCCTACCACCACTTTGATTTACCCACCAGTCACGGCCCCATCCGTCGAGGCCGCCCTCGAACATGACCTCAAGAACTACGGATTTTGCTTCAGATCACTAATCAAAAGACTCAAGCTCGACGCTGTTGGTAGAATCAAACTGGTCAATTGGATTCGTGCCGGACCCTCGAACAGTCGGACAAAATCTGAATTGGAAAACTTGGCCGAGAATGTGGATTGGCTGCGTCAAGATTCCGAAGAATGGATGATTCCAAGCTTACCAGAGGATGGGATGTTAAGTATGTCATTTATCATCAAACTAGTCCCAATAAATGGAATACACGTTTGATGCCTGTTGCGTAAATAATTTTGTGAAGGGTTTGACTTTGATGAAGAGCTTGAATTGGATGGAACAAGTACAGCGGCGCGCATGGTTGGCCCGTCCTGTGGATCCGAAGTGGGCCTCAACCAACGCTTGCTTGCAACCCAAGAGGAACTAGAACGACTCAGAGCACTCATGAAACGTACCCTACATGACGGCACGGATCCCAAGCTATCAAACTCCCCACCCACCAACCGGTGGTATAAAGTAGTACTGCCCCCGAGTGATGGCGATGGGCTACCTAGTGAAGAGAAAGCTCCCACAACACTCGTGGTGGATTCGCAGTCTTCGGACGAAGAACAGGATGAATTAGATGAGCAATGGGACGACTGGGTTGAGGATGAAAGCACGCCGACATCTACTTTGGTTTATCCCTCAGTCACCGCGTCATCTGTCCAAGCCGCACTTGAACACGACCTCAACACCCATGGGTTTTGCTTTAGATCGCTGATCAAAAAACTCAAACTGGATGCTATCGGTCGGATCAAACTGATTAATTGGATCCGTGCCGGACCCTCGAACAGTCGGCCAAAAATCGAGTTAGAAAACCTGACCGAAGATCAGGCTTGGCTGGGTCAAGACTCTGAAGAATGGATGGTTCCAAGCTTACCCGACGACGGAATGCTACGTATGTCTCTCTTTTCCACAATCTTTCCATTTTGCCAGCACGCCCATGTCTCCCCTTTTTCTTTGAAGAATTCGACTTTGATGAAGATCATGAGGTCGATGAAACAAGCATAACGGCACGGTCGGTTAACGGACGCTCTGGAGCTGACCAGCCTAACCATTCGATTGACCTCAACGAACGCCTACTTGCAACGCAAAAGGAATTAGAAGACCTGAGAGCTCTCCTACATCGCACCATGAATGACGATACGGATTCCAAACTATCATACGCCTGACACCCCAACCGGTCGAATCAAATGATGTGCTAGAAACACAGGACGATAGGTTTTTTTTTTCAGGAAGGAGCTCAAGCTATAACTAAGAAAGTGCGAAAGGTTAACCCTTGATATGCAGATGGAAGTGCGCTAGACATCCAACGGATCGTCCAGCTTGATCAAGTACAAGCATTCCTGTCATGTCGACTAGTAGCACCAATAAAAGCACCAACCTATGGCCATTCGCACTATTTGCCTCACTCTCTTTACTCGCATCTCTCGATTTCATTAGTTCTGGGAGTAGTACTGTTTCTCTAATCAAGTTTCAGCCCTTGTATAAGCTATGCTGTTTGTTTCTCCTTATAAACCACACCAGAAGGATGTCTGATCAAACTGCCATTCATCTGTACTCCTCTCGAGTCTCTTTCTCAGCTGGTTGATCATGTATTATTTAGTGCCATATATCCTGAAAAACAAAGCTGACATTTAATCCGCAGTAACTTTGCCTGTCGATTATGTAGTCTGCAGTGGACTGCGAGTCATATGGAGTTCTATCCTTTCAGGGCATGTTCACCTCATGACGAGGTAGCAGAATCGCAATCTGCCAGCTGGAAGGTGGGGGACTGGCCCGGCAGACTCGGAGCCGATGGAGTGGGTGGCCTGATAGTGATCCCTTGAGTCCTAAAGACCAATTGAGCCGAACTCAGTGAAGTCCACGTCAAGGCCTTTGGTTGGCCCCAAGCTTCCTCCTTGATGATAAAGATGCTCTTGACGGCGCGGGCTCTGAGTGATTTTAGATCTGTGTATTCACCGCGGTCTACATATGGGCCGGGCGTTGCTCGAATGATATAAATGTGTGTGGAGAGGTGGAGAGTATGTATTAACTAAATAAATATGTCACCGGCTATGGAATTCCAATGTTGGAGGCTTCTTCTTTGTCTCTTGGACATCCAGCCGTCCGTGCTAGTTAATCAGTGACTTGGGAATTTAGCTGTCGCAAGCTGAATCGTTGGAGAAGCATGTGCTGATATTATCACCTGCATGCGGCGCTCAAGTTGTCCATGCGGCTGCCTAAACGAGAAGCAGCACCACATTCCTTTAATGATCACTTCTACAACTCCAGATATCGATCCCACCAACACATAGTCCACCAATCGAGTACCCTTTTCCATTCGTTTAGCTCCGCCCTCAGTCTAGATCCTGGTACACTTCCTTGTCGCTTCCGCCACGCCGAAACGCTGAACTTGGCCAAAGCCCTGCCATTTGCTTAGCGATACATACATTACAGTCAGTCGACTGATTATAAAATTTACCATCTTGAGCATTGGTCCAAGACTGACGTCCAAACAAAACCGAATACAGCCTGAGTCTTCCTTCACCTTTACCAGCAGCAATAAAAACACATTTTCCACCTCGAAAGGAATTCAAGCCAGATGCGCACTTCAGACGAACACGACTTCCGACCAACAGCCTCTCGGGTGTCGTTCGAGGATGACCCTCCAAGGCAACCTCCACCCGTGAATCCCTCTCATCAACAGCTTCAGCCGGCCACTCGAAATGGCTCAACCACTCAGCTTCCCTCATCCAACTCTAGCGAATATGCAGAGGACTCACGATCGCTGACCAACAGATACCAGAAAGCATTAGGACTCGCCGACACTTCTCTCTCCACATCAACCCGTACGACCAAGAGCCAAAACCTGGACAGCAGACAGAAGATCCTCGGCGTTGGGGCCGAGGTATTCAGCTCGACTGACGATGATGACTTCGATTGGGATGACTCGGGCGAGTCCGAATTGGACGAGGCCGAGCGGGAGGAACGCCAGCAGCGGAAACTACGCGCACATCACGATCATCTCGAACACGAGAACCACCTCCGTCGTGCCAAACGTCTTAGGAAGGTTTACCTCTGCTTCATGAGACTCTCCAGGCCCATCAGAACCGCCCTACTGCTTGTCCTTGGCTGTAGTATTACCATCACGTTGAGTTTCCTTTTTTTTGAGTCTTTATTCAATCCAACCAAGCCTCGCTGACTTCTCTCTAAAATATCCATAACACTCTGCCCATAGACCTGCGATTGTCGTCATCCTCTGCTACCCCCAAAACCGGGCCAAGATCCATGTATTGATGTGGTCAATATGGTGCTCAATCAACATTGCACTTTCCTGCATCATTTCGATCCTAGTCGATATTTTCCCGGTCATAGCCATCAAGCTATCTTGCTTGTTCTACGGATCCGCGCCGGAACACTTGAAAACACAAGTCGAGCTTTGGATGGGCGTACGCACTTACACCAAGATCGCTTTGAGTTTGACAGGGTCAGTCATAAATAAAAGAAAGACAAAAAAAAAACCAATTGGCATTCTTGCAGCAGTTGCACGTCCAGAATCCAAATAACTCAGCTTTCTTCTATTGTAGGTATTGGGTTTGTCTTTTGGTGATGTTTTCACCCACATTTCCGTTTATGGCAGACCCCCAGTTGTGGTATTTCTATTGGTTTGAAAGGGTATGTTTCAAAAATATGACCAATTTACTGCTTTGCGTGCCTAATTACA